GTAATTCAACCAAGAAAACCAACAATGACTGAGTTCAGCATAACTAGAGAATCTATTTATATTCAAATCACTAATATATATGGATCAAATAAAAAGGTAATTTAACCAAATCACATTTCAACACACATTTAATTGAATACTCCCTACATGCCAGACGGACACTGCTCTGTGTTCTGAAGAAAGTGGTGTGCAAGACAATAGCCCTCATAGAAGTCAGGGTTTAGTGATAATTACAGAAAAGGGCAATGAGAAAGACATTAAGATTGGACACAAAGTATGAGAGTTAAATGAGGTGTGTGTTAGAACTTCTGAGAGACTACTAAAGGGCTTTACTCTAGCACGTGGTTTCTGGGCTGCATGGCTGGCTCCATTCCTTTAGTTAAGTCTGGGGCAGGGCTGAACAGTGAGAAAAGAGATAGGGACCGACATTCCCCAGCAAGGCCGCATGCCCTACAGTCCACCATCTTCCGAGCACTGAGCACCAGGGCCTGTAGCGGGTATTTCATGATCAACTACAGAAAATATATAGCAATATGAGACTGTCTACACTCCATACACAGAACAGCTCATGAGATGTTCCTAAGCTGGCCCAGTTTGGAGAACAAAGAGCAAAGGCCCACGGAGCTGAAGAAGGGTATGTAAGGAGGGGAGGAACAGGCTGTGAGCTGGGAGGACACAGAGGGAGAAGAGAGGAGGTAAGTGGGGGGAGCTGGAAAGGAGCAAGGATGCTAACTTACTTAGGCTAGCTGACTCTAGTTAGTACTTTACATGTCAGTGACCACAGGACACTACAACCACACACCTATAAAAAGTCTAGCATTGTTTCCCAGAGATGCCCAGGGGCAGTTTCCAGTAAGGGTTCAAGTTTGTTGTATACTGAGGGCCCTTTCTCATCAAGGACTGTAAGATTCTCTCAGTTAACCCAAACTCCCTTTTACTGATTGTGACTAAATCGTGACATCTGGTAAAAGAGGCTGATTTAAACAGTTTTCAAATTTCTCTAGTAGCTGTTTAGAATTCTAATTCCAAGAAAAATTTCAAAGGCAATGTTCCCTAAGTTATGCTATCATTGGAATCTGAATAATGAAAGCGCAATAAAGAGCCAACCACTGCTCTTTGTGACCTCACAAATCAAAACCTCAGTCCATCTGCAAGCCAGCCGTTCATGCTTGTACCCATATCTCCCGACAGTGAGCCCTGACTCAGGGGTAAAGATGATCTTGTAAATATAATCTCTGTGTTCTACAAACCTTGCTTAGCACTGACACTGACCCTGTATGACTCCCCCCCCCCCATGTCATTCACAGTATAGGGGCTTCTTATCTAGTGCCCACAAATGCTGTTCCAACAATGACAATGTAATGGTCGGGTCAGTAGTCACAAAGCCGGGTCCAGACATAGTAATTAATGCTATATTTGCATAGATTAGAGGAAGATTAAGAGGGCCTTATTTTAACAAGATTTTATTTGCCAATTAATTAGGATAGCAATTTACTACAAGTATGAAATTAGTGAACTTGGGATGATTAGAGCTGTGGAGTTTTTCTGGTTGTAGAGAAAAACAAAGGCATTTCCTCTTGCCGCATGGGCCTCAGTACAGATAGATCCCTGCGTCAGTCATGGTCATTAATTTCCCATTGCTCTTTCTTTTCTAGACATCTGAATTCTGGTGCTGTGTACCAGGAGCAGTTGTTAAATAAGCATCCCATTCTGACTGCTTTGCTCGCGGTACTTGCTACGGCAGCAGCTGAGTCAGCCCTCCACTACCGAGTAGCCTTTCTTTCTTGTGCTTTCCTTCTTCCTCCTATCAAAGTGAGTGTGCTCTCATAGCACATGTCATCTGCACAATTCTTCCTCGTGCTTAGCATGTGTGAGCCTCCACCAAGGAACAACAGTAAAACCTTGCTTCTCCTGTATTGGGGGGAAGGGGTTCTTAGTACAATTTCCTTCACCGATTATTAGTCAGTGTTGTGTCAGTATTATTTCTTATTGAATTAAATAAGAAAATAAAGCTTAATTCCTAGTATGGTTATTTGATTTTTAGATGAATAATAAAAAAGAGAACCAAACAAAACCATTTAACTTTAAAATGCAGTGTTCACAAAGAACAAAGAACTAACTGTGCATCCCTACCTCAAGCACTTTCAAACAGAACTCTGCTACCTTCTTGCATTAAAAACACAACAACAACAACAACAACAAAAAGTAAAAGAAAGTCTTTTGTCTTGAGATAAAAGGGCCACAAACCTCTCTGACTTACTCCCTGCTTCAGGATAATGACATAAAAATATTTTTCACTTTTTGGTTCACATTCTGAAAAAAAAAAACATCTTTTAATAGGAAATGTTTTGAACTAGATTTTGAGAGGCAAACTACATTTTTTTAAGACAGAGGAGTGAAGAGAAGTAAACAAAACACAAACATCGAAGTCTTTCTACAACTGATCAACTCCAAATGCTGACAGCCTCTCTAGTGTGCTCAGCAACTTCACGTCTCAAATTTAACTGTAGAAAACCCTTGAGGAAGAGCACCTTAGCCTGCTGCACTCATGACTAAAATTGTTTTCCTTTGTGTCTGCAGTCATGTCACAAACTGCTACTGGGCTCTGGATTGCAATAAATGATTTATTCCCACAGTAGAAAGAAACTTTGTCCTCAGCCTTGTCCAGTGTGTGCTGTCTGTCTGTCTGCAGCCACCCAGTGCCATCTGATCTGGTAAGAGCCTCAGTAGACTGCTTGCAGCAGCAGGGGTCCACTGCACAGCCAGGAAACACCCTAGTTCACTCTGTGTCCTAATTCATTAGAATACAATGACCTCAACCTTCTTGGCTTTTAAAATCTCTTCATGGTTTTACAAGTTCAAGAAAAGACAGACACACAGGCAAATGCCCTTTATTCTTCATTTATTTTACAAAAGAAAACATGTTATGGACAAAACAAGGCTAAGGCAGCCATGTCTGGCTACACAATCCTTAAGGTTCCCCTTTTCTTTGTAACCCCCTCCCTTTCAACAATAAGGTCAAGAGGAAAGAAAGGAATCTACACTAGGACCATGTCCACATCCTATCTTTTATTGCTATTTTTCCTCTAACCAAACAGCTTCATCAATCAACAGGAGAATATGCAGCAAACTCTACATTCTAATTCAGGTCCCAGTGGAGAGGTAAGAATTAGAAATTGCTTCTTGAAAGACATAGGGTAGCATTAAGGACCCATGGCGGCTGCCAGACCACGAGCACAGTGTGGCTCTTTGCTCATAACTAAATGCACAGCCAATCTAATGAATTTACTTAATGAATACACTCATGTACAAACTACCTTCCTCTGTAGCTACTGTCTCTCTGCCAGAGCAAGTAAATTCAGTCTGAGACATATTTACACCCAGACAATTTCTGTTAATTTTCCTTCCGAGAGTTTTTTGTAACTCTCGCAAACAGGTAAGAAGGAGAAGAGAGGAGAGGAGCAGTCCAGCTCTCACAGCTCCGATGCTGGCTGCTGTTTCCCTTGCTTCACAGAACAGGTGACTCACACACAGTCCCAGCCGGCTCGCATGGCTAGTGCTAAGTGCTCATACTATCATCCCTTTGATTACACGGACGTGACTTAAATCTTGAGTTATGTGCCTTATTTAATTTTTGGATGATGGAAACACCAGACGCTCAGACCTCTCAGGTTCAACTCACATCTCTCCCGACCCTATCTCTGAATTTTCTTCCCATCTACCGCTTACGACTCACACACAAATGGACAGCTGTGGCGGTGGCAGTTTATTCTGGGCATGCCACTGTGTGGAAAGGGTACAAACGGGGCATTCCCTAGATTCCCTAGGCCACATTAGTGTTTTGCTCTAGAACCAAGTGTGAGCAAGAGTGACTGACAGGGGAAAGGGGTGTCTGCATAAATCCACTTGGCACATTAACGTTATATAATAGTTTCGAGACCTAAGATCTGGGTACACAAACAGACTAGAATAAGAGAGAACGAAGCTGTGACTGATCCCAGTAACTAGCCCTACTCTGTATCTGTGTTGTGTAATTTATAGACTACCATTCCCTGACAGAACTGATGTCATCTGAATAGGTGACATCACAGGAGTCAGCTCTCTCCTTCCATTATGTAGGTCTCAGGGATTGAACTCAGGTCTCCTAGCTCACAGGAAACAGTTTTTCCTGATAAGCTGGCACCCCAAAGTCAAGTTTGGGGTTTGCTGCTTTTTCAAAACCATGAGTGTACAACACTTACAAAAACACCTGTGGTAAGGAAAGAGTTGCTTTGAAATGAAAACGTCAGCGCTCTACTGTTTCTCAGCAGGCCACACGCAGCGCAGCACACGTTCTACAGTAACTACAAAGGAGCATGGCTCCGAGATTTACACTCAACACTTTCAGACACAACCTCCTCCCAGCTTTGATACACTTCCAAACACTAGTGAAAACATCCTTTCTAGGAGTCAGGACAGACAACTGGGAAGAGTATATGATGTAGGTCATTCTATCCTCCCCAAGTGGGGAACTTCTTTTACGCTCAACCAACACTGTCATTAAGAGGACAAGAGGTAGGCAGGAGCCCCTGCCTATGGCTGGAGATGCCCCGGCCTTAAAGATCTGTAGACACACGGAGGTATGAAAGGCCCCAGATGACCACTGTCGACAGACACTTTATGATTGGAATTAAGACTAAAGTCAAAGTAAGCACTTTTGCCTAGCAGAAACAGCATGAACCAAACCAAGTCAATAACCTGAACACGTCTTTCAGTGTGTTGACATGAGGTAAGCTACAGTAAAGAAGGGCATAGGATGTTTAGAAAGGACCCTGGACGATGGTATCTTCTCCTTTCTTGTCCTTTAGAAAGCACACAAGGACCTCTTAAGTAACAAGATAAACTCATTAGGTAGATAGAAACAGAAAACAGAAAACAGCTCTAGGTGTCAGCTCTGGGACGATTTTGAGCCTTGTGTTTACCCGGGATCTAGCACTCAGGTTGACTGTAGGATGCAATGCTCAGGTGTGGAGCAGCTCATCAACTCCGGGAAGTTGCTCTTCCTGAAGGCCCTTCTGCGCCAGTGTCTGAAAGGCAAGCATGCAGTGCATACTTATAAAGAAAGTGAATACAACAATCCAGCGACACACCCAGCCCAAACTCATTTCTTAAAATGATCAAATGAAATTTACCTAAACTTAACACAGCAATAGTTCATGGGATTTCAGGTTTTCCAAAGTTATTACAGAAAATATGAATCAAAATGTAACTGTAACAGTTTGTAGAAAACAAACATGATACAAAAGGCAGTGCATCAAATTAAAACTGTGTTTAGCACACCCTATGCAGGTCTGTGTTAAGATGCATCATAGCAAATACTATGCTCACTTCTAAGTTAGTTACGGGCAGTGCTGAGGTCATGGGAGTCTGTAGTATAAAGTGTAGGATTAGATCCAGTGAGTGTGGTTTGTGCTTTTAGAAGCAGAGACAGTGAGCACTAGACAGGCTCCAGTACAGCCGTCCCCTCTGGACTGTTTGGGAGAAAGGACAGAAGGTCCCAGTGTGTTAGAACTCAGCGAGAAGCAGCTCCTTGATGACAAGCTTATGGAGCTGGTCTTCCGGGAGCTCAAAGCCTCCTGGTTTATACCTGAACTTTACTTTCACTCACTTGCTCCAGGGGCTTTGCATTAGCGCAAACCGGGGCAGTGTGGGCTTACCGACTCCAGGAACTGTGTTTCTGCTTGGAGCACTTTCCAGGTGTTTTCCATTTCATCTTCATTATAAAGCTCTAACTCCTGTTTAAGTCTATTTTAAAGGAAAATCACTCCATTAGTTTCATATTAAGCTTTCACAATAATTTTATTATATATAGAATGGCAGGCTTTGTAGCCTCAAAAATATCATAAAGTATCAAGATCAGGTTAAAACCAGAAATATATAGGAAATTTAACCCTCTCGGACTCTATAAGGACTATATATATAAAAAAATTAGAGGAAAACTCCCATAAACAAAGAAATGTAGGAAATGTTTTCCAGAAAATAAATTGTACTAGTATAAGGAAGGCATCCTTGTGGGTTAGTGTGACAGGTGCAGAATCAGGTTTCCATGGCAAGCTGAATGCACGGAACTCATTTGCTTCTCCGATACTAACTCAAAATTAAGTTTAAAAATTTCTTGTGACATTTTTCTTTTGCTCTAAATTTATGTAATAGTTATTAATTAAATATAATAATGTTACAATAAAATATATTAGACTGGGAAGTATCAGTGTTTATTTTTATCAATATGTACTTAAATTCTGGAATAACTTGTTGAGTAAACAGGCTATTTTTGTCTGAATTCAGTGTGGAACGTAGAGAAGAAGCACTCTTTCATCTCAGGTATAATGAGTAATATTTTTATCCCCCAAAGAAAACATCACCCAAAGCACTGAACTGTGTGAGGGGCGGAGCACCAGAATGTGCTCACAAAGCTAAGCAACTCAGCAGCAAGATGACATGCTCAGAGGGAAGGGGCTTAGATCAGCTCTGTGCCAACAAGAGGCACAGAAAGCTTTGATGGCAGCCTCAACATATTTAAACCCGTTTGCCTTCCACAGATGGAGAATAGATAACAATATAGCAATCAAAAAATCACCAAGCACACCGGTAAGAATATCCAGTATAAGTCAGCAGAGGCAAAAAGCAGATTATACCCGAAAACCTGGGAAACACACACAAAATGGGCACAACATAAGCTTAACAGAACCTCTAAGTCTTAACAGGCTGTTTATAAAAGCTATCCGGTGTCTAATAAAGATGTGGAATGGCATCAGCTGTGTAGCTAGTGACACGCCATGGAAAACACAGCAGTCAGTAAAGAGCTGGGCCACGGCCCTCAGGAGGCAGAGGCAGGCAGAGCTCTCAGCGCCAGGCCAGCTAGAGCTGCACGGTAAGATCCAGTTCCACAAGGAAGGAAAGAGAGGAGGGAGAGGGGAAAGAAATAGGAATTCCAGTGCCCTAGTCACCCCCCCCTGCTTTTTATTTCACTTTTAATCCACATCTTTACACTTAAGGTTTTGTGGGGTTTGGGGTAGGAAGCATTTATACCTGTATTACTCTGTAATGTGGAAATCCCTTCTTTTTTATCTGTCATGTTACAACCATTTACATTTAATGTAGTTGCTTATATGGTGGGATTTAAAATATAGCTATTTTCTAGTTGTTTTCTGTTCATCCTGTAGATTCCTCATTCCTTTCCTTTCTTTCTGTATATAATGGGGCTGCTTATTATCTCTTCTATAGATTTTTTATTATACCTACTTTAAAATTTTATACAGCTTATACTTGTTTATAACATAGACTCAAAATTTGTATCTATTAATACTATTGCATTTACAAAGAAAAATGTTACAGCCATATATTTCAGTTTCCTCCAATTTTATTCTATTATCATCACAAATTTCCTATATAGTATACATCTAAAATATAGTGCTAATATTTTTCTTTGCCCTTTTATTTTATCTCGTAATCTTGTAAAATGACTTACAATCATAAGGGAGCTTTTATTTATATTTGCCTTTGTCCAACTGTTTCTGGAACTAACTCCACCTTCCTATTTGGAATCACACCCTTCCTCCTGAAAACTGCTGTAGCCCTCCTCTGCTTCCTGCATATTCTCTCTTTATGTCTGTTTTTCAGAGATGTAAGTATGTGTACACAAGATGAATTTCTTCAGACACTGCTTGGTGTAGTCTGAGGTCTTTGTATTATGTTTAAAAGTATTCTGTTTTCTCTATAAAATGTTCTGCTGTGACTCTCAGATATGCAACACTGTGGATGAAATCTCAAATGTACTAGGCTTACTTTTTAAAAAGGACTTTAGAGGCTGTGTGGCATGTCATGCTCTTTATACAATAAGTATACAAGAAGACAGGACAACTGGAGTCCTTCAGAGATTTGCCAGTTTGACCAAAGAAATCTTCTTAACAAATAGGAGCCCCCTCTGCCTTCTTTCCTCATCAGTAGCTTAAACCACAGCACAATTCAGACCCAGGGACCCACCTGCGTCCAGGCTGTAAGGGTTCAGGCATTATACTGGCCTGCCCTGCCACCTGGAAAAATGGATTCAGGCAGTACCCTGGTCAGTCCAGGTGCAAGGAATCCCTCTAAAAGGAGACCTCTGCCAACTTACGATCTCTTTCTCTCTCTCTTTCCCTCTCTTTCCTGCTGTTCCCCTGGGGAAGACAGGACTTTTTCTCGTCTCCCTTTTCTCTTCTGTCCAAAGGGTCCAGGCCCTCACCCAGACCCCTGCTTTGGCAGCCATGACAGGCTGCAGAAAATACCCAGCAAGACATAGGTCTCTGACTCAGCAGAAACATGTGCTGAGCCCCTGTCCTTGCCCTAATCACTAGGAAGCCAGATACCCTGCGTGTGTCAAGGAACCACTCATTAGCTGGCAGGCTCTGGATATGCTTTACTGGTAACATTGGAATGCCCATGAGAGCAACCACTCTGGGAGGGCCTTTAGACATAGCAACTCTGTTGCTGCAGCAGCTGACCAATCAACACGGGACAGGTTGCCCAAGCCCAGAGGTGCACCAATAATGAGACTGTTGCTATACAACTGGGGGGCGGGGAGACAGACACTCCCCTTGCTCTACACTAGTCCATGCCCTGCGGCTGCTCAGGGTCCTCCTGCTTCAACCACTGTGGTGGATGGATGGGGAACTCGAGTTAACTGGTAACATTAAAGACTCTCTGTGTTTACATTGGATCGGGTCTCTTGGTGATTTGGGGGGATCAGAGTTTGGGCACAACAATATCACATTTAAGTAGGGTAATAAAACATAAACTCAGCTGGGAAGAATGCCCCAGTGTGAAGCGAGAAAGATGACGACGACGGAGATAAAATCAGGTCAAATGTCCCCAGGACATGAAGGTGCCTTCCCCACTCCTCTCTGTGAGAAACACTACTCAAGGTCCAGGCCTCATAGCCGGACAGACTAACTCCAGAGAGTATAACAAAACTCTGAAAGCCGATGGCTTGCTTGCATATTATTTTGAATGGAAGGGTCTTTTTATGTTTTAAGCTAATGACTTTCATTTGTCTCTCTAGTGCTCTTAATTAAAATTTCTTCCTTCTTGTCTATAAAGTTTAAAACTCTTCCATGTGAGTAACCATAGTTAAACGGGAAGCATTTTCATCTTGTCTTGTTTTTAGAAAGTTTTAAAAGAACTATATTATGAACAATAGAAGTCAGATAATCCCAGATGTTGTAATTTAGTGTAGAGTACAAAACTAAGGACAATGGCAACTTCTTTCTAAAGCAGCCCCAACATTACCCAACCCTCCTGAAGATAAAATATACTGCGCAAAACATGCAAAGCAAATCCAACAGCACGATGAGTGGATGCTGCACTACCATCCATTAGGGTTTATTTATTCAAAGAGTGAGGATGCAGCTCAATATTACAATTCTATGAACTGACCTTACTAATGCTTCCAAAGAGAACATTCAGAGTGCAGAACCATCTCTGCTTGGTTTGATAGACCTTAAATCCCATCTATCACCCACCTTCTCTGAGCATCTAGGTTCTGTGAGTCAATAGATTTGCTTCTAAAATTAAGGTCTTATCCTACCTAATACATTCACCAATCTGCTAACTCAGAGACAAGGACACCCTGTCTCACTGAGCTTAGACATCTAACCCTCTAACGTCTCAATGTAAGAAAATCCCTATTTCTTTGGGTTGTTGGATATCCTATGCTAGTTCCTTCTAGTGCAATTGTCCAGTGTTATTAATGTGAAATCCTTAGTATATCTCTCTACCAAAACTGAAAACAATCTTAATTATTTGAAACAAATATGATTATCTTCTATGGTGCTAAAACCACTTTTGAAATACAAAAATTTATCCCTGATAAGAACATTGAAACAATAAAATTAATAAGATACATTTTTTTATACAACAGACATTTATGCTTGGCCCCATGTAAGAATATTATTTGTTGGCTGAGGTCAGCGTTAGGGACACTTGTCAATTAACTTTATTTTTTTTCTTCCTTTTTTCCCCCAGATCTTATATCTTTATTTTGTCTACAGCAATTTTAATGGTATGAACTAAAATATTAAGAAATTTCTACAAAAAATAACTAAATGCATAAGAGCTGGAAGTAAAAAAGGAAAAAAGCATCAATTTTTCGATACAATCATGTATATGCAATCAATGAAAATAAGCACAAAGAAAATAATTTTGGAAGTTGGCAAAATATAAAATTAGCATACCCAAATAAATAGACTTTATTACCATCAATAATGATGAAGATGCCTTGTTCTCAAATAGAAAATCATAAAAATGTTAATAATTCCAACTTAAACCCACTAAATATGATCACAATAAAAACATAAACATGTTTTATCACTCTTGGTATGAGGCAAATTTATCTTTAGGTTCACATAAAAAAAAACCCAAAAGCATTCAAAAACCTCTCTAATGTTTAGAAACAAATGCCAGCTACCTACTAAATCCCACTATTAACCTAGGATGACTAAGCCATGCAGCACTGCATACAAAGTAGTAGGTGAAGAGACAGACAGGGAGGAAGAAGGCGGCACCTCAGTTTCCTGGCGGAAGAAGACGGCTTTTCAATAAATCATGTTGGGACACAGGACAACACCCTCCAAATGGATGCAAAACTAAATGGATCTCAAAGGCAAAACTGGATCTATATTTCACAGCATATCCACTCTACCTGGATCAAATATTTATATGTTAAAAAAAAAAGCCATACAAGACAAGACAGAAGTATTGCTAAATTGCTG